TTTTTTTTTTAATTTTTTTCAACGTTTATTTATTTTTGGGACAGAGAGAGAGACAGAGCATGAACGGGGGAGGGGCAGAGAGAGAGGGAGACACAGAATTGGAAACAGGCTCCAGGCTCTGAGCCATCAGCCCAGAGCCCAACGCGGGGCTTGAACCCACGGACCGCGAGATCGTGACCTGGCTGAAGTCGGACGCTTAACCAACTGCGCCACCCAGGCGCCCCTCGGATGCCTTTTTATTTTGCTGATGGTTCCTTTTGCTGCGCAGAAGCTTTTTAGTTTGATGTAGTCCCACTTGTTTATTTTTGCTTCTGTTGTTTGAGCTTTTGGTGTCATGGCTAATAATCTTTGTCCAGACCGATGTTAAGGAGCTTTTCCATTGTGTTTTCTTCCAGGAGTTTTACAGTTTCAGGCCTTATATTTAAGTCCTTAATCCATTTTTGAGTTACTTTTTGTGAGTGGTGCAAGACAGGAGTCCATTTTCATTCTTCTGTATGTGGTTATCCAGATTTCGCAATATCATTTATTGAAGAGACTATCCTTTCCCCTTGAGCCTTTTTGGCTTGCTTGTCAAATATTAGTTGACCATATATGCATGGGGTTATTTCTGGGCTCTCAGTTCTGTTCTACTGGTTTATTTGTCTACTTTTATAACAGTACCATACTGGGGCGCCTGTCTGGCTCAGTCAGTTAAGCGTCCGACTTCGGCTCAGGTCATGATCTCACAGTCTGTGAGTTCAAGCCCCGTGTCGGGCTCTGTTCTGACAGCTTGGAGCCTGGAGCCTGCTTCAGCTTCTGTGCCTCCCTCTCTCTCTGCCCCTCTCCTGTTCATGCTCTGTCTCTGTCTCAAAAATAAATAAACATTAAGAAAAAAATTATGACAGTACCATACTGGTTTTTTGTGGGGTTTTTTTATTTTTTATTAAAAAAAAATTTTTTTTTAACGTTTATTTATTTTTGAGACAGGGAGAGACAGAGCATGAACGGGGGAGGGTCAGAGAGAAAGAGAGAGACACAGAATCTGAAACAGACTCCAGGCTCTGAGCTGTCAGCACAGAGCCCAACGCGGGGCTTGAACTCACGAACCGCGAGATCATGACCTGAGCCAAAGTCGGACGCTTAACCGACTGAGCCACCCAGGCGCCCCTGTGGGTTTTTTTTTTTTTTTTTAAATAACGTTCCTCCAGTTTTCAAAAACTGCCATAAAATTTAGCAAAGAGGCTGCGTATTTATGTCGTTGAAAAATGAAAATCTGGTATGTTTTTGTTATTTCCTTTTTGTCTCACTTTTTAAACTAAGGAAAATATCAAAATATCAACCAGTTCTCAAGTACCATACTGTTTGATTACTATAGCTTTGTATAAAAATTTGAAATGAGGGGGTTGCCTGAGTGGCTCAGTCGGTTGAGCGTCTGACTCTTGATATCAGCTCAGGTCATGATCTCACAGTTTGTAAGTTCTAGCCCCGTGTCTAGCTCCACACTGAGCATAGAGCCTGCTTGGGATTCTCTCTCTTCCTCTACCCTGCTTTCTCTCTCTCTCTCTCTCAAAATAAAGAAACTAAAAAGAAAAAAAAAAAGTTTGAAATGAGGAATTGGGATGGCTCCAGCCTTGTTTTTCTTTTTAAGGATTACTTTGGCCATTTGAAGTCTTGTTGTTCCACACAAATTATGACATTGTTTTTTCTATTTCTGTGAGGAATGTCATTAAAATTTTGATACAAATTTCATTGAATCGATACGTGGCTTTGGATAGTATGGAAATTTTAATAGCATTAATTCTTCCTCCCTCCTGCTAATTTTCTGCTTAGTTTATTCTTCTTGTTCTAGTTCCTTGAGGTGTAAAGTCGTTCGAGATTTTTCTTCTAGGTGTTTATCGCTATAAGCTCTTCAAACTGCTTTTGCCACATTGCATAAGTTTTGATATGTTGCGTTTCCATTTTTGTTTGTCTCAAGACATTTTTCGATTTCTTTTGATTTCTTCTTATTCCCGTTGGTTGTTCAGAAGGGTATTGCTTAATCTCCACAAATGTGTGAATTTTCCGGCTTTCCTCCTGTTTCATGCCATTCAGACCCATGGTATGATTTCATTCATGAAATTTGCTAAGACTTTTTGTGACTTAATATATGATCTATCTGGAGAATGTGTTCAGGGCTTCCTGCTCATTAGTCTTGCCCTCACCTTGTACCTTGTTTTAATTTATGAGCCTCTTGCCTTCTTCTTATTCTTAAGGCCCCTTCCTTGGCTCCTGTTATGTCCTGCTATTTTGTGTCCCTGCCTTGGTTTCTCATGGAGGATATCGGTCCCCAGTGCCAGGGTTCTGCCCTTGAACCCCAGACCCTCTGGTTAGGTCCCTGTTAGTTGCTGTCTGGTCTTCCTACTTCCTACTGCTTCTCTGGATCTCTGCCTGTCACTCATGGTCCGGCTTGAGTAGCGCTCTTTCCTCTGGCGGAAGAATGAATGAGGGTGGGATCAGGTAACCCGTGGCATCTGCTTAACCGTCCACTCTCTCTGCTCCGCCCACAGCACTTCCTCACGGCCCTGGGGGGGCTCGTGTCAGTGCCACTCATCCTGGCCAAGGACCTGTGTCTGCAGCATGACCCCCTGACTCAGAGCTACCTCATCAGCACAATTTTCTTCGTCTCTGGCTTCTGCACTCTCCTGCAAGTGTTTTTTGGAGTCAGGTAGGTAAAACTCTTTTCCCGGGATTCTGACTTTTACCTGCTGGGGTATCAGCAAGATTTGCTTGGCTTACAGCTGCAGAGGTGTTTAGGTGTACATGATGGAGGGAACATGGGACTGGGAATCAGAGCCTGGGTTCAGGTCCTGGCTCCAACACTTACTTTCCATATTAGCTAGGATTCTTGATGAAAGTTCCGTAAGTCCAGATTGGCTTAGGCAAAAAATTGTTCTTTATCGGTGTATAAGGTCAAGGGAAGAGAAAGGCAAGGTTACACCATGCATCAGGAGCACATTGAACCAGGGGCTCAAGTGCCACTGGGACTTTTTCTTCTCCTCTTGTCTCTACAAAGGCCTGCCCCTGGTATTTGCGAGATGCAGGGCAAGGATACAAATGGAGCCCCACACGCTGCATGTCTAAAACCAAACTTACAAACTCTTTTTTTTTTTTTTTTTTTCAACGTTTATTTATTTTTGGGACAGAGAGAGACAGAGCATGAACGGGGGAGGGGCAGAGAGAGAGGGAGACACAGAATCGGAAACAGGCTCCAGGCTCTGAGCCATCAGCCCAGAGCCTGACGCGGGGCTTGAACTCCCGGACCGCGAGATCGTGACCTGGCTGAAGTCGGACGCTTAACCAACTGCGCCACCCAGGCGCCCCTACAAACTCTTAAATAAGATATGTTCTGGTCATTCTACCTGGAAGGCCAGGTTTGAATTTAAAATTTTTTCACTGCTCTAAGTTCTGCTTTGGGACCTAGTCACATGGGGAGGGCCAACCCCCAGCCTGTGGCCTTCCCCCTTGTCTTCTTATGTCAAGTTTTGCTCCAGATCATAAATGTCCTTACACTCATGAATGTGGGCTGCATACCCACCCCCAACACACATATGCACATGCACATACACACATACACCAGATTCTCCAAATAGCTGACGCTTGGCCACCCTCCATAGGCCTAGGGGTATGTACACCTGCATCATGGTCTGCCTTCAGCAAGGCAGACCTGGGGAAGAGGCCCAAGCAGGTTCTGGAAAAGGCTCGGGGCCATTTGGGCAGAGGAATTCTTGAGTCTCAAAGGGGAGAGGCACACAGACATGAGGTGGACAGATTCCCTTGGCCCCGCAGATGCCTCCCGGAGGAGGGAGAGTGGAGCCCCCTGGGACAGCAGGCTAAGTACAGGGGGCTCTCCATTCCTCGTCTGGATGCAGGGCTGTCTCTTCCTCACACTGTCAGTGCCTGTGCTTCATTGTCGCGGTCACGCTTCCCGCACAGGACCGGAGGCAGGCTGCTGGCAGTCCTCATGCTTGTCTCCCAGAGCAGCTGAGGACTGCTCTGGCTGGCCTCGCATTTTAAAATTCCAGGGAAGAGCTCTGATGGGTGCGACTTAAGCCAGATGCCCAGCTCTCACCCATCCGGGCAACACATATGGCAGCTCTCGTTCGGGAAAACTTCCTAAAGAGTCAGGGAAGGAGAGTTCTGTTCTGAACAGAGGAGACAGCAGGGATTCGCTGAACTGTGTATGTGGTTTGGTACCCGGAAAACAAGGCCGATGATAGTATGGCCTTTTCTCCCTGACAGTAAGATTGAGATGAGCAAAATCGTTATAATCAGTGGAATCACCTTTATAAATAAATACATACATACATACATACATACATACATACATACATAAATAAAAACAAACACCATCAAGTCCTTTATGTTCATATGTAGGTTGCAAAAATTAGCCTGAGTAAAATGGGGTTCTGTGGCTCTGGAGCTGGCCTGGACAAAATTGCGAGGCCTGGAAAATGTGTCTTCGGAACTTTTCCCTCCTCATTTCGACACATCCTCTCTTCATATTCTCCACCACCACCCCCGCCCCAGCTTGTCTCCCAGAAAGAACTCTGCACCGTGGCTCCCTTCTAGGTTATCAGGAGGGATCAGGACATCCCTCTCTGCGGGTCCTCCAGACCTCTCCTGCTCACCCCAGATCTGTTAGTCGTGGGCCTTCTTCCTTTATCATTTATTTAACATCGAGTCCAAGGACATATCCAAGTTTTGTTCAGCCTGAAGGATGTCCAGTTTTCGGTGTCCCCTTTAAGAAGGACACAAAAGTATGAGTACAAAATCCTGCATGAGAGACAATATTATTACATTGAAAAAAAAAATCATGATAAATTACGACATTTTTTAAAAATTTTTTTTAACATTTATTTATTTTTGAGACAGAGACAGAGCATGAACGGGGGAGGGTCAGAGAGAGAGGGAGACACAGAATCCAAAACAGGCTCCAGGCTCTGAGCGGTCAGCACAGAGCCCGACGTGGGGCTCGAACTCACCGAACGTGAGATCATGACCTGAGCTGAAGTCGGACGCTTAGCCGACTGAGCCACCCAGGCGCCCCAAATTACGACGTTTAAAAAGCAGATTAACACCACAAATTGTCACAAATTCCAAAGTTTTCCAATCTTTTTTTTGTAATTTTATTTTAAAGTTATTTATTTATTTATTCTGCGAGAGAAAGAGCACGAGCAGGGAAGGGGCGGAGAGAGAGGGAGAAAGAGAGAAACCCAAGCAGGCTCCGCCCTGTCAGTGCAGAGCCTGACGTCGGGCTCGAATTCACAAACCGCGAGAACAAGACCTGAGCTGAATAACAGGAGTCACATACTTAACCGGCTGAGCCACCCAGGAGCCCCTACTCCTTTCTCGTTGAGCTGAAAGTGGTGTACTCTTTGATCAACATTTTCTGAAGAGAAGGAAAGATAATTCAGTCATTCCGCTTCCGTGGGTCGGTCCAAATTTGTTTGTTACTACTGCTAGTTAAGATGCGTGGTCATCCTTTCACACAAAACTGTAACACCGCTATAGATTTGTGCCCTACAAACACAGACATTCTCTTGTCCGTGATTTCCATCAGAAATGTCTAAAATGCATGCTGCCTTTAAAAGTGTAAGTGGTACACTATCGACTATATTCTTGATAGGAGAAAACTTTCATCTTGCCTGCCTATCAGTGAGACTCACGTCTTCTCTGGCGATTTTGCGTATCTGGTGGTTTTCAGGTTTTCCACAGACTTGCTTCCGGCACCCTACATTTCAACCTTTGTTTCTCCTCCAGCGCCCACGTACGTCAGGTGCCATAGGACACATTCATAACATAACGTGACCTCGGGTTTGTGCAACTTCACGAAGTAGAGTGAGCTGGCACAAGGGGAGGTAGGAGTATTGCGAGACCCAATCATGACCCTGAGGTGGCTAGCAGGAAATTAAATATACATGGGTGGGGATGCCTGGGCGGCTCAGTCGGTTGAGCGTCCGCCTTCAGCTCAGGTCACGATCTCGCGGTCGGTGGGTTCGAGCCCCGCGTCGGGCTCTGTGCTGACAGCTCGGAGCCTGGAGTCTGCTTCGGATTCTGTGTCCCCCTCTCTCTCTGCCCCTCCCCCACTCATGCTCTGTCTCTCTCTGTCTCTCAAAAATGAAGAAACATTAAAAAAAAATTAAAAATAAACAAACAAACAAACATGGGTGGTTTAGTGGTCTCAACCCACATAAATCTATCCTGCCACATTCAAACTAAATTGATCCTGACTCAGCTTCCCCTGGCCAAATCCTAAGAGTGCTTATGACCTTTCAAATGCCATCTGATGCAAGATTTAGAGTCCGTGAGGAGGCAGCACAAAGAGGCAGTAGCCGGTCAAATGTGGCTGAAACCATTTACTTTTACAAAGTTGACAAAGGCCTATGGCTAGAGCACACGTTGCAGGACCCCTGGGACTTGAGAAGGAGCCCGGCAAGTGAGGGTCCCTTTACCCTAAATCTCCTTTTGACCTAATCTGTGCCAGGCCTGTGTCCCGCCCTGGAGTCGCGAAGGGAAATGGAAAACATTTCCTACAATGTGCTTCTGCTGACCTATATTGATAGAAGGTGACATGATAGGAAAAATTAATATCCATCTATTCAGTGTCAATTATCTGAATCAAACCACACAGGTATAGATGGATATGGGGCTGGCCGGTTGTTTCCAGGATAGACTGACTGCAGACAACATTCAGAGGAGTATATTCACTGTTGGCATGGCCTTTTTGCCTGAATCAAATCAAAGGCACTTTCCAAAGTGCTTCCTTTGCAAGTCATTTCCAGGCGAGACGCCAAGGCTTAAGTTCTTGCAACCTCTATTGAGGAGTGGAGACCAGTGCCCACGGCTTTGGAGGGTTATTTCCCTGCTCTCTCTTCTTCTGTCACCATCTCGGTGAGCTAAGACTTCTTCCAAATCCCCGACCAAGGACTCAGAGAGGTGCAGGGTTTGCTCTGGTCTATCTAGCAGACCCCCCTATTTTCTAGGATCGGCTCTGGGAATGTGGGATGGTGCGGTGGGATTAGGGACAGCTTGTGGTAACCTGCCTGGGTCCCAGAACACCCCGCCCCGTGGAGAGTTACAAACACAAAGCGCTTCTGGATGGGGGAGTCCCGCCCATAAACCTGAGATGGCATTAATTATAATTATGGAAGAGTACTGAGTTTGGAAACTGGAGGACGGAACTCCAGTCTTGGCTTCTGTACCATGGGAACTTAGACAAATCATCTGCCCTCTTTAAGGCTCAGTTTCTCGTCAACAAAATGAAGGAATTCAACTATACGATGTCTGAAAGTCCCTTCTGTCTCTGTTGTGGACAGCTATGATGTTGACAGAGAAGATGATGAAGCCCCGGGTTTCAATGGGATAATCAGTAGTAAAAGTGCCTCTGGGCCTAGCCTTCTGGTAGGCTCCATAAGAAACACAAACTAATCAGCAGTTAGGGCCCAAAGAACTTGAACTTACACCTTAATTAAACATGCAGAGAAAGAGGTAAATAAAATTGGGAAATGAAATAATGTTAATGCCATTAGGGTGGGGTCAGGAATAAACATGAGTTTGGTTCTAGGAAATAAGCTTCTGTCTCAGATGCTGATGAGCAACTCCCTAAGACATTATAGATTGTGAAACCTAACTGATAGTTGATGACTCAAAGGCCAAGTAGATCTG